TTTTTTTTTTTTTTTTTACATTAAAGCAATACGGATTTCATAAATAATTAGAGGTTCACAATTCTGCAATTTTGTAAATGTCAAATGCCAAATTTGAAGTCAGTTTATAAATAAATCATCCAGCAATTCTAATTACCAGGCTCGTAATTGTTCTAATAACCAACAAAGAGATCAAATGCAAGCTTTATTTTCCCGCAGGGGACGTATGGCCTTTCTTCACAACCCAGAAAATTAATCATTTTTGTGTACACTGACCCTGGCATTTTAGGGTCTTGATGTGGCATTTAAGCTCTTGACTTCATTTAAAGACTGTTTCTCGTTTGCCACAGGTGGAGGAAACCGTTGGAGGAAAACAAGAAGATGCTGATGAGCCTCAAGTTGAAGCAGAAGCGAAACCGGAATCATTTGAAGGAGAAACGCCTGAACTCTCAGTCTCAACTGAGCTTCCTGAGGGTGGACAGATCACCGAACGAGACCAGCAGACTGTATCTGATGTAGATCCATCTAGAGAACCACAACCCCAGTCCATCTCAGAAGCTGCACCAGGTACCACTGAGTATGAAAGAGAGCAGGTCGGTGAACCCGGAGAGGAGGACAAAGAAGGTGCTTTTCAAGAGGCGGTTGAGGGCACCGAACGAGACGGAGAGGAAGTCCATGAGACTGCAGACAAGCCTCAGGCTCCAGAGACTCCAGACACCATCACCTCCGAGCAAGGAGAGCAAGCAGAGGCCACGCAGCCTCGAGAACTGGAAGGTGAAGAAGGATATACAGACCCTGCTGTGACAGAAGATGAGCAATCAACCTTCGGGCAAACCCAGGAGGTGTTCAAGCCTCAGCAGGTGCTTCAAAAGGAAATGGATGTAGGCAAAATGTAGGCTACAAGATAGCAACATCCCAGCTCTTTCCTTAGCCTCTTAATTCCCATAAATATTTTCGAATTTACTGTTACATGCATCTTCTTAGCACTAATAAAGACCTGAGCAAGATTGTGTGAAGCTTCTTGTTGTGCTTTACAATAACAAGAGCGATTAATCAGGAAAAGCTGAGAAATGTTCCAGCTTAAGGTGACAGACAGAGATCTGTCAATGTGGCACCTAGTTGACTTCTTGTTGTCCTTGCAGAGAATTTTATATGAATCTTTTATGCAGTGGATATGGTTGCACATTGCATCACTTGAGTTCTAGTAAATATTGTGTAATTCTCATCTAACTCGGATGGTTATGATGCCAGTGCCTCTTGAGCATGGTTATATTCATGATTCATTAACCTCAAACCCTCAAAAATAGACAACTAGAAAACGCAAATCGATTTGACAAGAAAAATCCAATGGGCAAACACCCATCAGTAAACCAGCAATGGAGTACCGTTTTCTTCAATATTTTCTCTCCACATCCTCGTCGAGGAGATTGAAAGCGAGCCAAAGCGTTCAGAATATTCTCCACACTAATCTCTCACCCAATTACCGCCACCGTGCAGAGACAACTCCCCTGGAGTCGCTTCCATAAGCACACAGCCAATCTACCAAGCGAACACCCAGATGTGATAGAGGACAGAGGATTGTGAGACAAAGGAGAGCATGATGCTTGATTTATTACTCGACAACATCAAGAGGTTATATAGGTCGGATAAGCAAACAGGTGTAAAGCGTAGGAGAAATAACATCCACTATATCGGCAATGCAGCTCATTTATTAACTTTAGAGATTTGCAGAGAGGAGTAATAAATAAAAGGCTTGCTTTTGTAAATTCCATTTATTATAAAAATGCATAGCTTACATCCCTACACAAAAAGAAAAAAGAAAACACACAAATAAGAAAAGAAAAAGAAGAGGAGACAGCCTTTGAGAAAGAGCTCCAGCATTCAGGCCCAGTTCTCAGAGAAGACATAGTCCATTGTAACAAATATTCAGAAATTCCATTTGGATTCAGGGTGAAAACAAGTTTAGGTCAATATGAGGGACAGAAAGTCCAAAACGTACTCTACACAAGTATGTGAACATAAACTTTAGCTCAGCAAGCTTGGTTTCACATCTGAATGTGTCTGAAAGTAATTTATATTGCAACACAAGCATGCATTGCATTACCAGAGTTGTCCTCTATTTTATCAGAACATGATGGAGCAACAGTTTAAGAAGAATCTTAACTTAGAACTCAAGCTAGAAAATTAGTTAAATGTATAGTTGAAATTAAAATTCAGTGATTGTTTACTCACTCTCATGTTGTTCCAAACCTGTATGACTTTCTTCTACAGAACACAAGAAGATATTTTAAAGAATGTTTGAAGAACACTTTGAAGAACAGTTTATTTGAAGGGAGCTCTATCGCCCCCTTGAGGTTTGAGACTTGCCATTACAATGTTTACCAATGCTTTCGCATCAAGGTACTTGGGTAGAGCATGTTTATGACCATAGACTCGATACTACAGAAATTCGGCCTGGTCTCATCCCATTTCGTACCTTTCCCTTGTCACTTGACTGGTAGCTCTATCACATTAATTTTTCTTCATTGACATAATTGAATTTACGTAATTGAAAGCTATTGGTATTTGATCCAACCTTGTACCATGTAGAGTGACATTTGATTTATGGACTACTCACTAGCAGATTAATGACTTTTGGTTTAAGTAAATTTATGAAACTGATAAAACTAGATTTTGGCACTGGCTTGGAATAAATACCATGGGTGTGTAAGCCCATATTCACTCCCTGGCTTAGGCTGAAGCCATGCTGGGTTCCTGAGGTCTGGCCTCGGGTTCTTCTACGGATTCTGCAGGCATTTCGTTGCTGTAAAGGTAGTACGGAGGGGTCTGCCGAGCTTCAATGATGAGAACCCCTTCCGGAGACAGAGAGGCGAACACAGTGAGAGGGTCCACATCGGATGGGATTCTGTGAAAAATTAGAGAGTTTAGAATGATGTCCGTTTTTCCATAAGTAGAAAGGTTCCAAAAGGGGGTTTTCACAGCAATGCCATAAAAGAACCATTTTGGGTTCCCCAAAGAACCTTTCAGTAAACAGTTCTTAAAAGAACTATTTTTACTTAGGGTGAAGACCATTTTGATAATCTAAGTAAACTTTTTGCACTATAAAGACCCTTTGTGCAATGAAAAGTTTCCATGGATGTTAAAGTTTCTTCATGGAACCATCAATGCCAAAAAAAAAATATATATATATATACCTCTTTGACACAGATTGAACCAGATTCTGATTTAAGCCATTGTAAAATGTGGTTGTACATATCTGATAGCTAATATCTAAATACATACTGTACTTTTCAACTTAAAAAGTGCTTTTTGGATTGTACCATGCAGTTGCACTGACACAAAGCTTGGAATCAAATGTTACACTAAGAAGTTGACAAAGGTCAGTTTAATATTAACAACTACACAGTATTGCCTGAACATAACCCAGACTAATTGAGTTCTAACTCAAGTCTAAAGTTGATATTAACCCAGAATTGTGAAAGTTGCTCAAACTATACCCTTGTGTACTCAGTATATTCTCATTTTGGTTTAATTTTCAACAAACTTCATTTTCTGTGTGGCAGCTTGTGGCTAGAAGATAATTCCCAATGCATTTTGTGGTTTTCATTTAAATGTTCTGCCTGCCATCACTTGCAATGAGAGAAAGAGAGAGAAAGTGAGCGAGTCCTGCTCCAGGTGCTGGGCTCAGAAATAGAGTCTGTTGCCAATTATTACAAATCGCCTCCTGATGCAAAGTTTATCACCAGAAATTTCCATCTACACACTAGTCTAATCATCCAGCAGGCAAACTGACTGCAGCCGTTTTAATGAGAGGAGTTCTTACTGTCTGTTTGAATTGTGATGCCTTTAAGGCTGGATTACCATAAATTCATATCTGCTCTACAGAGAAAGGGTGGAACTTGTTTTGAACATGAATGAATGGTGATATCACACAAAGCCACTTCCTGCTGCATAAGTCTAGAGGTGAGGGAACTTTTAGAGCTGCTTTAGAGATTTGAGAAATGCTAGATAAAATAATTGTACTTAACACAGTATATGAAATAAATAATTTCCACTGTCAGCAATATATTACTAAATGCACTGCAAAAAGCAACATCCGAACCTTCCTTGTAATGCTTTGCATAGGCAGAAACTCCACACATAGTAAAGAACCCCTCGTGTGAGTCACATTCACAATTATTTATAGAGTTTGACTTTAACAAGTTTCAAAACTAATGATGAGATGCCCTACTCTAATAATCACAAAAATATACAGAACACACAAAAACCTGACACTTTCTAATTAGATTGACTAGTTTTTTTTATTTTTTCAACAATTGAATATTACATATGTTTATAATATATTAACATTGTCAAAAAGTTTGGGGATTGCAAGATTATTATTTTTTTTAATTAAAAATAAATAAATAGTATGCTCACTGAATATATATGAACTGCTGTTCAAAAGTTTGGAATCTGTATGATTTTTTAATGTTTGTGAAAAGTCTTTTATGAGCACCAAGGCTGAACTGATTTGATAAAAAATACAGTAAAACGGTAATACTGTGAAATATTATTACAATTTAAAATAACTGTTTTTTTTTATGTTAATATATTTTAAAATGTCATTTATTCCAGTGATGGTAAAGCTAATTTTTCAGCAGTCATTACTCCAGCCTTCAATGTCACATGCTCCTTCAGAAATCATTCTAATATGATGATTTGGTGCTTATAAAAATGTCGTCGTCTTTTTTTGTTGAAAACAAAACAGCTGTCTAAACCATAATACATGCTTTTCCCCTCAGAATTCTTTGATAAATAGATAGAACAGCATTTATTTGAAACAGAAACCTTTTGCAAAATGATGTCTTTTACTGAAACTTTTGATCAATTTAATGCATCTTTACTGAATAAAATAATTTCTTTAAAAAAAAATTAAAAAACTTACTGAACCTAAATTTTCGAACAGTACATCATACAAAACTACATTTAATACTACTTAATTTCAGTCTAATGCTGTTTGGATTAGCATTTGACACCTATGGTGCTTTAAAATGCTGCCTAGTTAGAGCACACTAGGGTTTATTATAACAGAGCTACTTTACTGTTTTGTTGTTGTTGTGCTTTAATCTCTGTGAGAGTGAGAGGACACAACAGAGATAGACAGAGAGACTCTGACAGAGATAGAGAGACAAAGAGAGAGAGACAGAGAGTCTCTGAGCTTTGTCAGTCATCATGGCCAAATAAGGCTGGAAGGTTCCACACTTGTTGCCAAGCTTCTGTGGAGTTTATATAAACCTTATCATGTAGCTGACTTCAGTGGTCTGACGCTATTCAATTAGCACAGCAATGCTACAGCCTTCCTGCGCTGTGCAGCTCTGCTACTGGAGGGCAAATGACAAATCTGAAAGCTATCAATAACAAAAAAGCTCAGTTGAATTGAGAATAGACAATTTTACCCAATATTTATGCGTGACCTATATCTTCTGTAAGAGTATTGTGTTCTTAGCTCAGCAGAATGTTAAACACTGTTAGAATCGATCTCTATCATTTCACATCAACAACATGGTCTGTCAACATCAGATCAACTAAGCAATTTAAATTGAAAGTGGAAGACATAAAATAACTAAACTAATAATAAATTAATAATACACTACCATTTGAAAGTTTGGGGTCAGTAAGATTGTTTTGTTATTTTAATTTTTTTATTTATTTAAGAAGTATTTTATGCACACCAAGTCTGCATTTATGTGATTTTAAAATAAAGCAAAAATAGTAATATTTGAAGTACTATTATAACATACAATTCAAATAAATTTTAAAGTGTAATTTATTCCTGTGATGCCAAAGCTGAATTTTTAGCATCATTACTACATTCTTCAGTGTCACATGATCCCTTAGGAATCATTCTAATTTGCTGTTCAAAAAACATTTCTCATTATTATCAATGTAGCTTAATATTTTTTGGATTTTGGAAATTGTGATACATTCAGGATTCCTTTATGAACATAAATACAGAGATAAACATGTACTTAAAACAGAAATCTTTTAAACCATTACAAATGTCTTTACTGTTACTTTTAATCAATTTAATACATCCATACTGAATAAAAGTATAAATTCTTTCCGGACCCCAAACTTTTGAATGATAGTGTATATCTCTTGTGTAAGGAGGATACTAAAATAGTACTGCATTCGTTCAATAATTAAATTATTTTTCTTTGTTAGAGTCTCTTTCTGTGTCTCTGTCAGAGAAACAGCATGGTGACGAAAAAAAATCAAATCACTGTGTCGCTTAATTACTGCAGACATCGGAGCCACATGATATGTTGTCTGAGTCTAACTAGAGTTTTCTCTTTTCTATTTTATCTCTTAACTTTGATTCTTTTTCTCTGCCTCAACCATCCCATTTGATGCTGAAGAGTGAGAAGTAAGCTGAGAAGTTGGGGTGGGTGGAGGAGTGGGAATGCTTTGTGTTGCTTTAAAAACTCTGAGTGACATTCCTCGGGAAGTTGCTTCATCATTCTAGAAGGTTCCAAATCAGAAGCTCCCAGAAACTTTTGATACAATCATCAGACTTACTGAATTTTCTTCGTGAAGTTTTTGGTAACAATTCCGCCCTCGTCTTGCTTTTCCTCATGCTTCCCTGGTGAAAAGACATAAAGGCAGTTGTTAATGCAGAGATCGATGGCTTCTAGCGAGATGATCGATACGACCATACAACACTTAGGACATTCTGCAGTTATCAGCTTTTAAATAAGAGGTGTAGAGAATTGCTTTTGAAAAAGATGTCGCTTTAAATACAAGATCAATATATACAGGTAACTTGAAGTCAATTCAAGCACTGGTTGCTCATGAAAAGCTATAATGTTTGGCACAGAAGTGTAACCTTTACCACACTGACATTAAATTAGACCCAAACAGGTTTATAGTCTCAGACTTTCTGTCCATATAAGGCTTTTTTGTTGACGAGCCTTCACATTTTACAGTCATTGTAAAGGCAACACTATATTTTGTGCTATTTCAAATCAAGAAGGCCTGTTTAAAAGCCTCTTGGCCTCATTCTCTGCAGCTGTTGGTCACTAAATGCCAGTCATGCCATACTGTGTCTCGCCGCGGCCTACATATCTACAATTACTGGCTCTTTAGGGAACACTATGAGCACAAACACATTTGATTGATTGTTCTCCTGTCAATACATTCATAATCTGAAGCCGCTATAATTATTGCTAACAGTTTAAAATGTACATGAATGAAAGGATATTTTGAGAGCATAGTTTATCCATATAAATCGATATTTATATGGAAGCTTATTTCTGCAACAGAATAAAAATATTATAAAAATATAATAAAGGTAATTGTACTTTTTATCACACAATTCTGACAAGTTTATATCTTGCAATTGCAACTTATGCACTCGTAATTGCGAATTTACAATTTACGCAATTCAGACTTTTTTCTCAGAATTCTGTTTACATCTCACAGTTCAGACTTTTTTTCTCGAAATTCTGAGTTTGCATCTCACAGTACTGACTTTTTTTCCGAATTCTAGCATACATCTCGCAATTCTGATTTTTTTCTCTCGTAATTGTGAGTTTATATCTCGCAATTGCAAGCTGTAAACTTGTAATTGCGAGTTTACATGTCACAATTCTGACATTTTTCACAGAATTCTGTTTACATCTCACAGTTCTTCTGACTTTTTTCTCAGAATTCTGAGTTTACATCTCACAGTTCTGTTTTTCCCCCTCCAAATTCAAAGACACCTGAACTGATTGCATACACAGTCAAAATTGAAGTCAAAAAAGTCAAAATTGTGAGATGTAAACTCAGAATTCGGAAGAAAAAAAATAGAATCGCCAGATATAAACTCAGAAAAAACTCAGAATGGCTGGTTTATAACTTGCAATCGCAATTTTGAGAAAAAAAAAAGTCTGAATTATGGGATATAAACTCAATTGTGAGATAAAAAGTTGCAAATTACCTTTTATTAATTACCTCCATGGCAGAATCAAGTTTGCATACATTTACCTACTGACATACTGTGCAATAGCCTTTCCCTATTTAACAAAGATGTTCAGACATGGCTGAGGCATTTGTTTGACAATGCTTTCCCTCAGGACAAAGTTGAACTTCATGTTTTGCCAATTTTCAAGGTGTTATAAAAATGGTCACCAGAATCTGAGGTCTGTGAAAAGGTCTTTGGTAAATCAGAGCGTAGGGTAGTTCACTTTGATATCTCTGTGTGACACTTTTAGAATGAGGTTATGTGACGTTAGGTTTTGCTGACCCACCCTCCTCCCACTGTGACTGAGTGACCCAGCTGGCATACCAGCACAGTGTTTCTAAAAATCCCAGCACACCAGGCCTTTGCTCTATCCTGAACTCTGAACTTCTGTCCTGCCATCACAGTCAACAAATATAAAGTATTTCTGGAGCAGACAGCAACTGTACTTTGCCCTTTCCGCTTAATAGGTTTTACTAAAGGACTTTGGTCATTAAAGAGAAAAAAAGCAAAGGAAGATGTGCAGTGTGGGACTCTCCATTTGAGGTCTAATTCAGTGTGTTTATGTGTGTGAACCTCAAGGGAGCTCAGCAGGTGGCTGATTTACTGGTAATGTGCAAGTCATGCCAAAGGCCTTCCATTCTCAAACCACAGAGAGAAAGCAACAGAGAGGTATGGAATAATGGGGCCCAAAGGGCATTATTGAAAATCTGGTGTCATTTTTTTCTTGTTATATATATATATAGTTTTTTTTTTTCAAAAGAAAATTTGTGTTTAAAACAAACAAAAAAAAAAATCAAATATCAAAAAATTATTTGGATCATTCTCAATTCAGCCATAACATTATCAACAACAGGTCTGATTCATGTAGCTCAAGTACTGCTGCCCAGCCAAGTGGGAGATAAAACATACAAAAAAAAAAATGTCATTCAATTCAATTTTTCAATTTAATTGTTGATAATATAATTTGAAATGACAATTTGTATAAAATTAGAAAAAAAACAAACATACTAAATGAGTTGTGCGCTCTATGCAAATAAATAAATACTTATGTAAATTAGGAAAACTTAAAAAAATACAACCAATATTTAAGGAGTTATGTGTGCAAATAAATAAATAAATAACCTGGCCAGATTTATTATTTGTTGTTTTGTGAAAAGAGGCCTTATTAATGAATGTAGGAGATCACTAACCCAAGTACCAAAAATGCTATGTTAAAAGTTCCATATCATGTCTCATAACATTTGGAATGTATATAACATTCCATGTTATTCGATGATTTATTATTATAGGCTAAGGTAATGTAAATTGTGTTACCAATAATTACTCGTCCTTCTCAAAGTTCATACGTGTTTTCTCACCTGACACCTCTACAAAACCGTCTTTAGTTTTGACATTAAGCTCCTCAGGTTTGAAGCTGTGCACGTTCACGCACACTTTCCACGGCTCGTCTGGGTTGGTCGGGGGCGCGCTGGATCGGCGCGGGCTCTCGCTGTACCTGGAACTGAAGCCCTGAGGTGAGCCCATGCTCGTCCGCGGGAAGCCCGTGCGCAACGAGCCCGTCCACGGCGCGTCCAGGCGGGTGCTCAGTCGAGGTCGTGCCCAGCCGAGCCAGTCCATTGATAATTCGTCGTGAAAAGGTGGCAGTCCAAAGTCATCGTCCATAAATCGAGATGCGAGCGACTGTTCCCGGAACGGATCCCGCGGAATCCTCTGTCGGTTGCCCATAGTGTAGTAATCCCCTTCTGCCATGGTGAAACTTGGGGGAAAAAAGTGAATTTAGATAACGTTTCTTGTTCAAAACGTCGCGTTCCTGTCAGAAGTACGAATATAAGTTATTAAAAACAGCGCAAAACTAATTCCGTTTCAAAAACTTGCCGCAAGTCTCCAGGCGCGTGATTACGCACCTAAGTTTACTTGTACCACTGTGCTCATGTAGGAGTTCTAGAAGTTTACTGACGATTTAAGTGCTCTTTCCACTGGTTTATATGTGATTTACCGGTCTAGAAAGTCCAGAAAGTGCTCGGCGACACACGACAGCTGATTGAAGACCCTCCCTATCCAAGTTTAGACCCCGGGCTGTGACTGGCTCCACCGGACAGCGACTGGTCCAATCTCACCCTCCCCCAGATGACTCATTCACTTCATAATAGAAAACTACTCACTCCTCAAGGCCGGAGAGGAGTCACACACTCATATGAAGAACACTAATAATGTTCTAAGCACGAAATGTGACGAAATACAACAGAGGCATGCTGTATCTGCTTTTCCTTCTTCATATGAGTCTTTGCATATGTCATGAAGGAGAAATTAGAAAGATGAGCAAGAAAAACATACTCCCAGTTATATTTTAAGATGTCTCCTATCTGTTGAAAAGTGTACAGTGACCCAAAAAGCCTGACTTTAAATGTAGTTTCGTTAGACAACAAAATATCCAGCCAATGAACTGACATTTTTACAGCACTTTTCAGACAGAAATTAATAATATGAATATAATAAAATACAATTACATACATATATATATATATGGTGGGTTTCCTCCTATGAACTACTTGCTTCAGTTCCTTCCACAAAATTTCAATTGGATTAAGGTCCGGACTTTGACTTGACCATTATGAAACATTCACTTTGTTCTTCTTTAACCATTCTTTGGTAGAACAACTTGTGTGCTTCGGGTCGTTGTCTTGCTGCATGACCCATTTTCTCTTGTCATTTCTCCAGTAGCCCTCTGGCTTGTCCGCATGATCTTTAGCAAACTGCAGACTAGCAGCAATGTTCTTTTTGGATGCACCATGCACACCGTGGTTCAGTGTTCTCCTGATGGTGGACTCATAAACATTAACATTAGCCAGTGTGAGAAAGGCCTTTAGTTGCTTAAAAGTTACCCTGGGTTCCTTTGCAACCTTGCAGACTATTACACGTCTTGCTTTTGGAGTGATCTTTGTTGGTTAATCACTTCTGGGGAGGGTAACAGTGGTCTTGAATTTCCTCCATTTGTACACAATCTGTCTGACTGTGGATTTGTGGAGTCAAAGCACAGCATGTTCTCAGTGCTGCTCCATTTCACTTCCAGTTACAGTAAGACGCGATCCTGGGATTGTGCTGTAGCTCAGCATTCCTGCATCTGTTTTTGTAACCTTTTCTAGCCTGATGAGCAACAGCAACTCTTTTTCTGAGGTCCTCAGAGATCTCCTTTGTTCATGCCATGATACACTTCCACAAACATGATCAGACTTTGATAGAACCCTGTTCTTTAAATAAAACAGGGCACACACTGAGACCTGATTGAAAACAACTCTGAAAAACAGATGGACTCTAATTTCACCTTCAAATTAACTGCCAATCCTAGAGATTCACATACTTTTGCCACTCACAGATATGTAATATTGTATCATTTTCCTGAATAAATAAATGACAAAGAACAAATTTTTGTCTCACTTGTTTGATTGGGTTCTCTTTGTCTACTTTCAGGACTTGTGTGACATTTTGATTTATGCGGAAATATAGAAAAAAAAGGGTTTTAAAAAAGGGTTCACAAACTTTCAAGCGGGACTGTGTATACACACACACACACACACACAGACATATAAAGACAGTGAATAAAGAGAGTGCAATTTTAAATAAGCAAAATAGTGGGTGAATTAATTAGATTAATAATTTATTTAGAACTCTTTGAATATCATACCATATTCAGACCACAGAGAACTAGGCATTGATTTACTTTAGCAAGGGAGACATTGATATTCTTCTGCACATAAACAACATTATATATACATTGTAGAATAGGGGGAAATGATAGGGGAATGTTCTTGACATAATCTTCCAGCCTGGTGCCCTGCATTGAGATTTTTAACTTTGCACTAAAACAAAGACACACTTGCTTTATATCTTTACCATTCATTCTGTGCAAAAATAAATTAATTACTTGTATTACAGGATATTGCAATCATTTTTTTGCAATTACAGAAGCCAATGGCATCCTCTGTAGCATGTTTTGACTTGGATTTTGTAAAATAGGTTGGATTCATGGCAACATTTTATCATGTTTTGTTTTTAGACGGAATGCAAATTATGTAAATTAGAAAACCAGCCTTGTAAACAGTCAGTACCACTACTCCATCTCAATAAATAAAGCCCATGCCTAATATTGCCACACTAAACGTTTGCATATTTACACAACAGATTTACATATGCATTTACTAAACTCATTTACGTTTTGAGACGAGAGAACAAGATGAATTCAAGAAGATAAATCGTTTGTGATACACTTCAAGTTTTTCCCCCTTCCTCTACAACTTATCTGTACAAGTGTCAGAATTCACAACAGTCAGACAGCTAATAATATACAGTGCATAGAGATCACCATGCCTTCGTTTAACAAGCATTCAAATAGACTTTATGACACAGAAACAAAGAAACTGCCATCATCTGTCGCAATGAAGGTGATGATTTTTACACGCCGTTTCATCAAGCTGTATCGCACACCAAATATATATCTTTGATCCTTTAAAAAAAATCCTTGATCTAGCCACTCTGACTGATTTCTTATGACAGCCATCTTCATTTATCCCAGTCTGTACTAGTTTCTCTGCTGTTGCACTGATGTACAACCAATAAATATGCTTTATAAAATATTCATATTTATAAATATCATCGTCATTTACAATATGTGTAATAAGTGTGTGATTAGATTAGTTCAGGACTGGATGTTTAAACTGTGGGGTTTTGAGGAAAATGAATAGAAACAAGTCAGAAATAAATGATATAAACAACAACAACAACAACAAAAGTTAGCTATGTGAATATCAAAAGTTTTATCTTATAAATAATTCAAGAGATCTAAATAATAAAATATCTGTACCTCACTATTTGCAGACCCAAAAGAAATAATGACAGTTAAAAATACAAAAAAGCTAGGCATTAAAATAATAAATAATTTAACACAGCTCAAGGGTTATGCATTTCAAAAATAATAATAATAATAATAATAATAATAATAATAATTAAGTATAGCAGTGCTTTGAATCTTGGAAACAATAGGACAGGGAAAATGTACCTTTTCTTTGTTCACTCAGATGCAGCCTTGAATCCAATGGATAAAAATATCTTCATTCTGTCTCTTGAGGTCTGCAAGATTAATATGTACTTTAACATATTTGGTAACAGTACGGACAGCTGGACCCGCAAAACTGTTCCCACCTGCATTTTGATTGTCCACCACCATCATCATCATCTCCATCACGGGCAGTGACATTTGAATTGTTTTCCAGTTCAACAGAAGATAAACAAAGCTGGCATTTGGGCTGATGGGGTGTGCGTTTGCCAGTGGGGCCGATTCGGATGGCACATTTTTCAAAAGTGTGTGCAACACAGAAGCGGCTGCTCTCAGTAAAAGCTCTTATGAAAGCAATAAATCTTTCTCCTCAAGCACTTTTGACATATCCTATAAAAAAGAAAACACTACAAAAATACAATAGATTCATACATGGGTTATGAGTGTCTCATGAGCAACCCTGCACTTCCTTTTATCTACTATGGCTGTTTTGATAAATTAATAACAATATCCTCACACCTATGAGCAAAACAAGGTATAGCAGAACTCACTGATTGCAGCATACATATCGAAACCTCCGGTCCAGTCCTTCCTACAACAACAGGCTTTATGATTGATAGACAAGTTTTCCTTTGAGCAGGATGGATGAAAGCACACAGTTTAGTACACAACAATATGGAAAGCTTCAGTCTTATCTGACACTGAGCAGATGATCCTGTCACTGGCTGGTGTTCCACATCTAAGCACAGCATGTTCTCAGTGCTGCTCCATTTCACTTCCAGTTACAGTAAGACGCGATCCTGGGATTGTGCTGTAGCTCAGCATTCCGGCATCTGGTTCATCCGTAAATTAGCGACGGGCTCTGCTATAGCTCACCATTGAGTCATAGCTTCTGCTCCGACTGCGACTGCGTTTGCTATATATAGAGTTCCATGATGAGCTGCGACTGTAGCTCCTGTATGAAGAATAAGTGTGACTGCGGCTGCGGCTGCGACTCCGTGAACGACTGCGAGTTCGACTGCGACTGAGAGAAAACAGGCGCCAGGACAGGAGACTGGAGGATCGGCTGCTGACGGAGGGACTGGGACGGTAGTAGGGGATCGGCCTCTTTCTGGCACTGTGCAGGACAGGAAGGCATGTGGAAAGAGAATACAAGCAATGACATATTAATAAATCATTTTAAATTGAAAAAAAAAAAAAATCACAAAATGACTTGTCCATATGTATAAACACTACCATTCAAAAGTTTGGGATCGGTAAGGTTTTTGAAAGCAGCCTCTTATGGCTGCATTTATTTGATCAATAATATATAATAATAGGCTATACATGTTCGTGTTAAAAAAATGTTTGGGGTTAAGCAGAAATTAATACATATATACAGCACAGCAAGGATGCATTGTATTGATCAAAAGTGACAGTAAAGACAGTTATACAAAATATTTCAAATAAATGCTGTTCTTTTGAACTTTCATTTTATCAAAAAAAATATACACACACACACACACACACACATCTTGAGGATGTGAGCAGAAAGAATTTGAATGCCTGACATTTCTGCCAATTGCTTTTTAAATATTTAAACAAACAAAAAAATAAATTATATTTTCGCTAATTTGATAATTCAGCTACCAATTCTACTAAAATACTCTCAGCTTAGTTTAAATATTTTTCCACGTTTAAATCCATTCCTCAGGTTTCTACAGATTTTTCTCCACAATCAGTGCAGAAAGGTTTAGAAAAAATATGTAAACTATCTTTGTTTACTGATCTCCAAAGAAAGATCAGCGGAGCACTTCCCTTTTGTGATTCATACAGTAGGTTGTTAGCTTGTGTCATAACACTAGTAGTTCTGTAAGAACAGACCTTGTAATTCTACGGGCTTCCAGGTGACTGGGGGAATCTCTTCTTCTCTTCCTCATTGGGGAACAAGGTCTTCTCCTGCTGTGCTTTCTACTCTTGCAGGAACTGCAGTCCCTTTTCCGCTCTCGAAACCTTTTCATCCACACATAAAAGAGATGTGAGAATGTATGTGTTTAATAACAAATTTCGTTAATTTTACAGTCATTGTCAAACAATTATTTTAGATAAAATTACACATCTTCTTTCAGC